GCATCTCTAACATCTTATGGCATGTACATACATGTTTTAGTAAGCTTAATACTTTTGATTCATCTATGGATTATCAATCATTTTACATTACCTCTTGCTCACATTCATCATCTTAAAACATATATTACATTGCATCTTCAGGCCATTTCATAACATTAATCATGCATTCGCATCCATGACCATGTATATCTTTCAAAGATCATCTAACTAATGGGGAAACATTAGTACATGGCTTAATTACAACAATACATTAATATTCAATTATAATCATAAGAATTAATTATCTTAAATCTTAAACTTTAACAACCAGAAGTTTATTCTTTAGGCCATTTTCCATCATTTCTCAAACGAATTGGCTCTTGGCCTAAACATAAAAGTTATAGGGCTATGTTTTAACTTCCTAATCCTTCAAGAATCATCTTATTTCGATTTTTATAACTCAAGTTATGATAGAAATATTGAAGCATGTTTAACATAACCCCTAAACTTGCCAAATCTGAATTTTTCATATTAAATCATGCCATACAACTTCTATTGACAATTAACAAATACGTCAACTTATGGATCAATTAAACCTCCCTTTAATAGTCTTTAACATCTTAAAGGAAGTGTAAAACTTCATTCCCATGATCATCCATCATTGCTATAACATTGTAAGTTAATGTAAACAACACATCAACACTTCTAATAGCAACTATTCAACACCATATGGCCTCCAATACTCCAAGTTTTGCCTCAATCAACATTAATACTTCATTTTCTTCAATTAAACATAATAACTTCATGTATAATGAATTCAAGGCAATAAATAATATTAATGAGTTCGACTAAACTTGTCATCAACTAATTCTATGCCTTAAAGCCTTAATTTAAGGTTTCATTAAAATCTACAAACCCTAGCATAATTTCTAAGTCATGGGAGGTTCTTCCTTACCTTTTTAAAGAATTCCCCCACCAAATCCTGTTCCTTTATCTTCTTTTACACCTTATTCCTACATATATAACATTATACCTTAACATCTACCTCAAATCTTCAAATCACATCAAAACTAGGGTTTTTATTCCGTACCTTAAACCTTTCAATTTTAAGATCCAAGGCTCCTATCTTGTTCTCCTTGAAAAATTATGCAAAACTCCTTTAAAGCTTAGAGAGAGAAAGCTTGTTTCATAGAAGATTTGAGAGAAAATGTAAGAAAGGTTGAAGAAATGATATCTCCCTTGGCTTGAAAGAATTTCCTCTCATTTATAGGAAAATATTTCATTAATTTTTCAAAATTATGCTATCGGCCTAATTATTTTAATTGTATAACACTCATAAGTCGTTAATTCTTCATATAAGGGCATTTTGGTCATTTGGCACTAAACATAGTTATTACTTAATTAATGCCATTAAATGCAATTAAGCCTACTTATCCTTGACTTTTGCAATGCTTATCCATAGGCAAAATGACTATTTTTCCCCTAATACCCTTTTATGGATAAATGACTAATGCTGTTCCAAATGAATTGACTATTTTGCTCTATTTTATGTTTTTTAACATAAAATTTACATCTAAAGGACTATTTTGAGTTGGGAACATACCTTTGACATCTTGGGTATTACAGACTAGAACTCGGTACATACCTCGCATGATGAAGCTTCTTGACAAAACTATTGTGAAGCTTGAGACGAATGCTACCAACGTCTTCAATCTTCACTTTCTCATTATTACCGACAACAATATTTCCATAATTTCAATCTTCTTTCAATTCAACAAAACAATCTATATCATTACAAACATGTATAGATGCAGCAGAATCTAAAACCCAACCTTTTCCACCCTTTAAAGTTTGAGTTTCATCTTGATATGTTACTAAAAATTCACCTTCATAATTAACAACCAAAGCATCATTCTTCGAATCCTTCATTTGTTGAGCCTTCTTAAAAGCAAGTATATCCTCCCTTAATTTCTTGCAACGTGGTTGGATATGTTCCTTCTCTCCATAATAATAACACTCCTTATTACTGTAATATCTGACTTTTGATTATCACCTCTCTCTTGAGTCCTCCCTCAATTAGAACCTTCTGCAACTAGTAGATCTCCTCTAACTGATGAGTTCTATGATCCCATAAACCTTTCATTCTCATGCAACAAGGCAGTCACATCATCTAATTTTAAAGTAGAGCTGCCTACCAACAATGTTTGAACTAAAGGTCTATAGTATTTAGGCAAAGATGACAACAATATCAATGCCTTTTCTTCATCCTCTAACTTATAAAAAATAGCCAACAATTGAGATACTAGCTTATTAAATTCATTTAAATGATCATGAAGACTCATACCTTCATCCATCTTCAAAGAATACAGATCCATCTTCAAACATAATCTGTTAGTCAACGATTTTGATGCATAAATACCCTCCAATTTTTTCCACAATCCCTTTGGTGTAGACTCAGCTAGCACATTGTACTTTATCTCTAGAGCTAAAGCCAATCTAATTGTACAGGCAACTCTCCTCTGAATTATATTTCATTCTCTATCAGACATCGTCTCTGGCTTACTCTCCTCTAATGCCTGATCAAGACCTTGTTGTACCAAAAGTCTTGTATCATACTTTTCCATAATATAAAATTAATTTTACCATCAAATAAAGGAACCTCAAACTTAGACATATCTCTAGAAAATTTGAGATGCTTGATAATCGTTGATTTATTCTTAAATCTGGCTTCCTCTCGAGCCTGCCTTCTCCTTGCTTGCCTTCTCTCGAATCACGAACTGTGGGCTCTAATACCACTTGTTGAAAAAGATTGCCACAATTCAAATGCAAAATTAATGAAAGCAACAAAAATAAAGCTAACCAAACTAAAGAATTTTAAAGTGGTTCGGCCTAATCAATTTAACCTACGTCCACTATCCACTCAAACAATCCACTAAGCAAAAGCTTACAATTGTGCAATTTTTAGAAGAGAAAAATGACAAACCCTTACACTATCCCAAAAAGCCCAATTAGACCCTTAATAACAGCCCACAATCATTATTCTTTTGGTGTCTATTTAATACTTTTTAAGATGCTTTAAAAGCCCAATCTACTAGTCTATTTAAAGGGGAGAGTCCTCTTACAACTCCATTTCTCAAACAATATGAGATTCAAGGCACAATCCCAACATATGCTTGGTAAAGGGTTCTATCTTTTTTCTATTATTATGTTTCATTTCTAGTTTATTTGTCTATGTGGGTATTTTTGCGCATATATATATATATATATACACTTTCTCATTATTGAATATGTTTAAAATGATTAGCATACCAAAGCGGCTTAATTATGCTGCTTAAAAAAACTCATTTTATTGGGTCGCTTAAGGTTTGATTGGACCATTATCTTTGAACTATTGTTTTAGCTTTCATAAACTAAATTACAATGCAGTTTTATTTTTGTTTGAACAACACATAAAGAGTATTACCTATTACTAGGAAGATCATACATACCCTGTAGTTCTAAAACTCAAACACCTCCATTTATCCAAGCCACAATCACCCGCTATCAACCACTGTCGGGCACCGATCTGGCCTTCAACAGTGAGATCTACGACAAAGATCTGGTCGTTGACGACGGCCAGATTATGTTGTAGACCTGGCCGTTTCCGGCCAGGTACACGATGTATCTGATTGGAAAAGGCAAGATGGCGCACGACCAGCCAAATCTAGTCAGTCGTACGCCATTCTGACAACTGCCAGCCACTGTCCGACGATGGTGGCCGACTGCCGACAGTTAGTTGAGTGAATAGGGGTATTTTTGTTAATTTATAAACTTTTATTATGGGGGGTGTTTAGCTAAATTAACAAATATTGAGGGTTAAAAATAATCTAATTATTTTCAGAAAATGTTATAAAAAAATGTATCAAACACATTCTTATAATCTTATCTAATTTAATTAAATCCTATCATATCCTATAAAAATTGATACCGATGTAAAGGGTCCCTCTGGAGTTACAACTTACATGTATTAAAAGAAAAAAGGGAATGAAGACGGAAAGAAAGAAGAATGATGAATGTATAGAAAAAAGAAGCTGCATGTAGATGTACAGTGCAGAGTACACGCTGACAAGACACATGCGCTTTGGTAATACACTAATACCAAATTTCAAAGTTGAAACAAACCCACACAGACACACAGCCGTTGTTTCTATTCTAATTCAGATTGATGAAAAGGGAAACCTAAAACCAACTTAATATTCACTCACATTTTCTATTTAACTTTTATAAGTTTCCCTTACAATTTACTCCCAACGGACATTACGTACTTGAACAATCAGAAAGCCTTCAAGATCATCAACTAAATCTCCAAAAATCCATTAACCATCAATAGAAGCATTCTCTCTTTCTTTCTCTCTCAATATCCACATTAGGGCGATCCCGTGCCATAAAGTTTGAAATTTTGTCAAATCCAATTCGAGTAAAGCATCCTCCAAGATCTTTTTGATGCAGACTTTTGTTCATATTATTTGTGAAGGGTCTAGCTATAGGCTTTAAATACACCCAGTTTAATTTAATTAATTTATATATATTTCATTTTCACTTCTTCAACCCATCATTATAATACTTAAATTGATTCTATGAATGTGACAGAAAACCATATCCTAACCCCAAAAATTTTGCATTTCTGTTTGTAGCTTCTTGCTTCACTGTACACTTCTTCAAGTTATTGATTAAAATTAGAATTTCATGATCATTTTTTTCCCAATGTCACCAATAAAATCAACATCTTCTTTTACGGTTTTACCGTATTATCAGGAAACACCTTTCTTGGAAGAAGGACAAGGTGAAAAGATATTATATTTTTATATAAATATAATTATCATTAAGTTCTAATAATTAAGATGAGACGTGATATATTCTCAACTCTTAACTTGGAAACATGTTCGCACTCGAAATCATTCTTAGTACTAATTACATACATTCATATTAAAAGCATAATTACTACTTAATTATATATTAATAAACTCAACTTAAAGGAGTTTTCACTTGGTGTAGGAGTTGAGGCTGAGCTCAAGAGAAGTCCAGGACGTTGCGTTGGCGTCATTGGATCTGCCATACCAGTTGGTAGAGTAGTAATTAGTGTTGGGGTTGAGCTTCAGGTTGTCCTCACCATGCATGGGGAAAAGAGGAAGAGTTTCAATGCCAGGACCAGTTGCTTCTTCTTCTTCTTCTTCTTTTACCCTTTTCTCAATTGATTTTTTCTTGTCAAAGATCATGTAGGTTGAAGTATATGGGTCTATTCCTCCGTCAAAACCGCCAGCACCCTCCTGGTTTAACAAACAAAGCATCAAGACTCAAAATTTACAGGTGTTTTTTGTTTAATTTATGGAATTTCCCATTTAAATAGCTTGAAATTGAAGGGGAGAAAAGGTTGTTTGCCTTAATGCCAAGTGCTAACAACATTCTCAGTTGTGTAGTGTACCCACATGGGCTAATATTGAGTGTGTTTGTTATTAAATCTCGTTTGAAAGATTGAAAATCAAAACAAACGACCTCGTGTTATGCACCAATACGTACTTATTAACATAAATATATAAAGTTGAGAACTTTTGTTATCTTCATATACACTTACCCTAAAAGTCTTGTCTGTCGTAGTAACAGATCCACCATACGCCCCATAGTTTCCCATGTGTTGGACAGTGAACATATTGGAAGATGAAGAAGTTGAAGCCGAAATTCCACCTGCAAAATAAAAAAACATGCATCAATGAAAACCCCCACCCCCCCAAAAAAATAAAATAAAAAAAAGGTACTATAAATAAAACTATTCATACAAATATTTATGTACCAGAAGTTATGTTATGAAACTTGTGAGAAGGATCTTCACAGTTGATGAATCTTTTTTTCTGCCTCTCTCGAGCTTTATAGTTCTGAAACCAATAGAAAACGTTTTTACCTTCGATCTTACCGTACTGTCTCAACCGAGCAGAGATCTTCTGAATCTGATCGGCATTGGGAGAGCGAACGCCATTATTATAGTAAAGTTCCTTGAGAATTCGGATTTGCTCAGTAGTAGGAGTCCAACGAGTACTGGTTTGCCTGCAGAGGAAGGTTCCTTTAACGCTGGCATCTTGATCGTTTTGTTGTTGTGGGAGTTGGTGGGGGTGGTGGGGCTCCATTGATATTATACGATGTTTGGAACAAGAAGAAAACAAAGAAAAGGAAACAAGGAGAGAGTTAAAAGAGAAGAAGGGTTGGGTTTGGTTGGTGAATGTGCATGAAATGCGAAAGTTATAAAAGCAAGATTTGAAGAGATCAGGGCATCAGTAGAGAGAGAGAAGACTGAAGTTGACAGTGAGAGGGGTTCATAAAAATAGAAGGGACAAAAATAAGGGATGAAAAAGGGAGGGTATCAGTGGCATTATATTACTACTTGCAATTGCATGACCAATATGTTTAAAAGAAGAAGAAGAAGAGAGAGAGAGAGCATTGCAGAAATTGGAATGTGAAGCACGAAATCTTTTTGTATTTTATACAAGCAAACAAACAAAATAAAATGAATGAATTGAATTGAATGAACGAGAAAATTAACATATCATGTGTTGGGTTTATTTTTCTTAATATATTTCATCCTAAATGTTCATTATCATTTTTCATTGTCCTTGTTGATACCCATTGGAAGTAGAAAGTGTTTTAATATGTATATGATTTAGAGTGGGTGGGTTGGTGTAATTTTCCACAGAGATATGGAAAGTCTTTTTATGAGAGGAAAAAGTAAAATTAGAACAATATTGGAAGAGAAAGAAGTACAATTACTTTGAGGGACCTGGACTAAAGTTGAAAGGCCTATTCAAATAGGCATCTCTCCCCAATAGTGAAACATTACGTAAGGCTATATACATGTTGCAATCTCTTCTCTTCCTTCTTTATTGCCCTATCTTTATGCTCATGATTTCCTATGTATGAAATAAAAATAAAATAAAATAGAAAGAATTCTAGCCTTTAGAAGTTGGTGACCTGACTGACTGCTTTGCTGATTAATTAGACGGTTTGCAGATACTCTATCCATCTAGCTACCCAAGTACATTCTTGGGAATTATGATTTACTACCTTTCAATTTCCAAAATAATTCTCTTCTTTCTTCAAGATTTTTAATTAGTTATCTTAATTCCTTTACAAATTTAATTATTCAGGATTCTAAAATTAGAATATGATTTAAAGTTGTTGGATATTAATTTATAAAAGGTAGGGTATATGATTCAAGATTTATTTAAATTAGTTAAGTGATGAGAAATATTGATTTATTTATGTTTGAGTTTATGAATTGAATTAGCTAAGCAATGGAAATGGAATGATTGAAGGAAAAGAAAGAAAAAAGGGGTGAAAGTGAAAGAAAGAAACAGAGGATAAAAATCGATTTTCACGTCCGTCATCATTCTGCAATCCTCGAGCACGCGCCCCTAAATTAAATGCAAAAGTAATATTTTTATAAGTGTGGGTCCTCTCTTATGGTTTCTGGGTTCTTACACGTCACTCTATATTATCTTCTTCATCATTTCATTTTCATATCCTCCAATCTACTCTGCTTTCCCACTTTTAACATCACCATTTTAAGGTTTATTACAAATTTTAATACCAACATTTTTAAGCTAATTAATAGGTAATTAGTGTGGGTTAATAATTGGAATTGATTTATGATGACACAATTGTTGGCCAACGTACTGCATTGCATAGTTTTCAATAATAATACACTCGCCCCCAAATTGTTATAGTCATAACTTCATTATTATTGCTCTGAAACTAAATTCAATTCATCCAAACATTTTCTCTTTGGTTTCAGCCTTCTACAGTTCTACTGCTTCCTCCCTTGTTTCCTGTTGCCTCGTGTGCTGTACGAAGCGCCCAAACTTTCGCCGACTCTTTTTACTTTTAACGCTTTAGGGACGTTTGGTTAAGAAAAGACTGTATTATTAATAAAATTACATTTAAGATTATTAAAAAATTTTAAAGAAATATGTTTGATTGGTTTGAATAAATTAATAAATATATTATATTAAATATATAATTAAAGGGAATAAATTAATGGGTATGTTATTTAAATTATTAAATTAATATTTTTTTTAAATATTAATATAATATTATTTTTATTATTAATTTTTGAATAGTTTTTTAACCACTAACATTTCAGATTTAGCTAAAATATTCTAATTTATATAAAACTTTAATTTATAATAAAATCAACCCCACTCACCGCCAAGCCACTGTCGGTCGCCAGTCGCCAGCCACCACCGCCCGCCAGACGCTAGCCACCACCGCCTTCTGTCGCCAAGAGTTGCCAATATGATCGAAAACGGCTAGATGGCTGTAGATCTGGCCGAAAATGGCCAGATGATTTGGCTGTTAACTGCCATGGATCTAGTTGTTAATGACCATGGATTCGATCATTAACAACCAAATCTACGACCATATCGGAAACTCCCCGCGACTTTCAGCGACATTGGCAATGATTGGCCAGTTGCCAGTGGTGGTGGTGCGTGGCGGTGGTAGTCTACAATTTGTTTTAAATATACGAGCATTATTATCCAAAAACTTAATTAAACAAGGGTAAAATTGTAATAGTAGATTAATGTAAATTGATTTTAAAACAAGGGCATTATTATGCAAAAATTTTATTAATAAGGGGTAAAATTGTAAAAAAAAAAAAATAAGATTACCAAGTAATCTTACAATACCTAAGAAAATGAAGATAATCATATTACCTCCAATATTATTAATAGTAACTACTATTGGTTTTTTAAGATTACCGGAATCTTATATTATTTGACAATCAAACGTGGTAATCAAGTGATATAAAATGACATTACCTTAGTAATCTAATATTACCTCTAACCAAACAAACCCTCTGGGTATTATTTTATATCCTCCCAAAAATATGCAAAATTGAAATTATATAAATAATAAAAATCTCATTCCCTGTTCCTGTGTTTCTGATTTCTTTTAATGGGTGTTTCAGGTTCCCTAAGCTTAAATTAGCACTCCAATTTGTTAGGTTAAAGAGTTTATAAATGTCATTTAATTTTTTTAACCTTTTATTAATAATTATGTTTACTATTTATTTTTAAAAATCAAATTTAAAATTAATAATTATTTCCGATTTGACAATGTTTCATTAGCGGCCAAGATGGCAAGTCATGGCGCTTTATGGCTATTTTGATCTTTTAGAGTGCGTTTAATTCAGGGAATGTTATATTACTGGGAATGCTATATTAATGAAAAAAAATATTATCTTAAAGATTATTGTGAATGTTCAGGGAAATGTGTTTGGTTGGTTGGTTGGAATAAATTGGTAGATATGTTATATTAATATATTTGGTTGGAAGTAATAGATTGGTGGGTATGTTATTTCAATTATTGGATTATTCTATAATTAAATATTATTATTTAATATTATCATTTAGATTATCTATAACTCCCCTACATTTAAAAACTTAGCAAAAACAACCTCATAATAACAGTTTGGAAAATCAATAATGCACCCACACCAACCCATCCACTGTCGGCCGCTAGAAACCACTGCCGACCGTTGGCAACCTAACAACGCACAGAAGGCTAGAAATCGTCTCTGTGTGTCGATATGGCCATTTTCGGTCTATGGTTGTTAATAGCCATCGATCTAGCCGTCAATGGATCTAGCCAAAAATGTCCGGATTAGATCTAGCCGTATTTCGGTCAGATTTGTCACGATCTGGCCATTTCCAGCTAGAGGAAATGGCCATATCAACGCATGGCAGGCATTTCTGGCCTTCCATACGATGTTCCGACGATGGTGGTGGTTGTTGGCAATTGACAGCAACAAGTGGGTGGGGGTGGGGGTGGTGGCTTCGGTAGGCTGCAATTTGTTTTGAATTCAAGGGTAAATTAGTCCAAAAAGTTAATTAATTGGGGTAAAATTGTAAAAGCTAGATTTATGTAAATTGATTTTAAAACAAGGGCATTATTGTCCAAAATTTTTATTATTATTAAGGCATAAAATTATAACAAAAATAAGATAACCAAGTAATCTTACAATACATAAGAAAATGAAAGTAATCTGATTACCTCCAATATTACCAACAGTAACTATAATAAGGTAATATAAGATGACATAACCTTAGTAATTCTATATAACCCCCCAACTAAACACCCCCTTAAAGAAAACATTGATGTTTTTATCCTTTTTACTATTGAAATGGCTATTCGAAAGGAATTTTCCTTTATATTTTAAGTAATGTGACAACAAATTTGACAATACCATATTAATTAAAGTAAACAACATGATCCCATCTAGAGCTAGGTATTTGGGACTAGGTCCAAAAACTTGGTCCTAGGACAGAGGACTGATCCTAGCAGGCCTGGTCCCAAAACTGGAACAGGCCTAAGGAGGAGGGCTCGATCCCTCCACTAGGCCCGGGCCCAAGCCCTTTTGGTTTATTTTTTTAACACCTAGACAATTACATAAAGCCCCTTATAAATTTTGAAATAAATAGAAATTGTAGGGGTTAAAATAAAATTTTACAAAATTTAAGAAAAAAAATTCATTTAATAACCGTTGGCTGGCAGCCAACGGTGCCACCCCCCCTAATGCTACACTATAAATATCCCCTAAATTTCTCTTTTTTTTTTTTTTTTCCCACACCACTCAATCTCTTAGTCTCTCTACTATCTACTCCAAATCTCCAATCAAATTCTCATTTAATTTATATTTATATTTATATATATAATTTATTCATATTATTATTTATTTATTTATATTATTCAATTTTTTCTATTTTTCAATATCATCTCTTATTCATATTATTATTTAATTATTTATTATTTTATCATAAATTCATAATGGATTCCCAAAATAATGCATTCGTAGGATCATCCCTAAATGAGTTTTACGTTCCATCTACCGAAGAAAAGGAAGGGTTAAATCCATTTTCACCCTTTCCTCCAGAGGCAGCAACTACAATTCAACAACCACATTCGGTCGGGACGAGGTACAGCCAAACACAAGCAAGCTACGATTCAACGGGCACAAGCATGGCCCAACCCCCCTGAACGTCAAAAAGGGTCGTGTCCGATGTATGGCGACACTTCACCAAATGGGGAGGGGGAAGAATCATGCGGGGTATGTAATTTTTGTGGAACCATTATT